TACGAAGAACAGATAGGAGCAGATGTGATTGAACACGGGTTGGCTGGAACTAATGTGGCTAGATACGTGCTTGAAAAACCACTAAGTACAAGGTGAGACTTGCTTACTATTATTCTTTCAAAGTTATTTTACCTAATAACTATCGAGGAATTTTTGCGCTTACATACATATTTATTAATTTTACAGGTAGGCAACATCTGATTGATGTACCTAAGCAGATGAAATCGAATTTTTTATTCAAAGCCACTGACTGGTTTTGACTCAAATTCGTGAACTACTTTAGGACATTCCAAACAGTCACAAAAGCGATAACAAAATGGAAGATGATGGCGAAAGCGAAAAGTCGCTCGAAAAGGATGGAATCAATGCGGCAGAAAAGAATCAACGAAGAGAAGGCTTTTACAGCCACTACATCCCCGAATGGAGCTAATGGAAGTAAGTAGAGGCCCCATTAATTTCAACAATCATATTGTTCTGTGTAAAAGGTATGTACTTCTTTTCAGATGTGGGAGCAAGTAATGGAGTTGTACTGCAGCATCGACGCTCTTCACGGGTGTCTGAAATTGCAAGCGCTCTATCATCACCTCGAAGGAATCTTGGATCAGTTCCTGAGTTGCAAGCAGAAGTTCGTGCAAATTCGCCGCGACCTTCTTCAAGAAGGTGAGATTCTGCTTGTTATACCTTTGACGAAGTTTTTCGAACCGTCCTCGTTCAAAAAAAGCAGAAGATTTTTTTGCGTTTTTCGCACATTTTTCGCGTAAGCAGATAAATCTCCTAAGCGATTTGCCAAGTTTGTGTTGAGAAAGAAATTTATAGACTTCTACATCATTAATTGGCCTTAGCTTCTGTTTGATGCTTATTTTTTAGTCAAAATACTCTGTGCTCAGCAAAGAGGATTAATTTGGTAATTCTTATAATTTTATCATGAGAGTATTATGGGAACACGGTATAGATGTGTTTTGTGTTAGTGAATTTTGGTAGCTTGAGCCGCCCTAATATGCAATAGTAACCTCATAAGTTTTTTTGAAAGTTGTGGAACAAGGTATCGATACGTCATAAAACATCTTATATATTGCACCGTAGTAGGTTAATGATGGCTATAGTAAGCGTGGTTACTTAATTACCGTACCAGATGTGAGGTAACGCGGAACATCA